TTAAAGGACCAGCGTTGCCCCCCATAACATCCAATTATAAACGGAAGTATGAGGATGAGGAAGATTTAGACTCTGAGATGGACGACTTCATCGACGATGAAGGAGAAGACCAAGATGAAATTTCAAAACATATCAGGGAAATCTTTGGCTATGACAAGTCCAAGTGAGTTCTTACCCAACTTAAGGTTACATAAAATATCCTTGGGCTTGAAAAATACTGTATGCTGGTATTTGATCACGCCAGTTATAGGCAACGTGTTTACATGTAGATGTTTGCGTATTTGCATAGAATGTTTTTTGCCTTAAATTACAAGGAGTTTGCCTACTTTCTGCTAAATTTGTGTCTTTTGTTTTAACAGATATAAAGATGAAAGTGACTATGCATTGAAGTTTATGGAGAGCAGCTGGAAGGAACAGCAGAAAGAGGAAGCGAGGAGGTAAGAATTCAGCTGCAAACTACAAGTGGGTAAATATTAGTTCTGACAAACTGCTTTGGTTCATCATCATTTTCACCAAATCATCACACTATTGCCTTCTTTTCTGTGTTTTTTGTTTTTGGTTTTTTGCCTTGCCTTGCCCCTGATTGTCTGATTAGCCTGCGATTGGCAGTGTATGAGGACCAGGAGGAGGAAAAACAAGAACTTGAGGAGATGAGGCGGAAGAATGCCAAGAAGAGAAAATGATCGTGATGATTGTGTTTCCGACAGACTGAAATAAAACGCTTCTCTCCCTTTATGCAGAGGACCGGCGGAAATTACGTTCCTTAATTACATCTTTTTTTGTTTCTGCCTCAGTTTACGCCTGGGCATCAAGGAGGATGAAGAGGACATGCGTATGGAGGAGGAGGAGGAGATGAAAACAAAACTAGCAATGAAAGCAAAGCGGAAAAAAATGTAGTTTACCATGCTTGACTTTGATCTCGTCTTATTTTGGGTGGGAGGAACCGAGTGGAATGGAAATGCTTTCCTTGTGCCGCTGATGTTACACTATTTATTTGAATGCCCAAGCCATGGGAGCAGGTTTGCACTATCAAGAGCCCATCTGAGAATCACAATAGCATTTTTTTGTATCTGTAGAAACCATGAAAGTATATCGATGTGGAAGCCTTACATCTCAAGCACCAACTTCCAGATTGGACCTGATTTAGGGAGAGTTATTTTATTACTTGTACTATTTAATTGGTGAAAAAAGACAGAAGACTGCCATTTTTCCAATGTATTTTTTTGTTAAAGGGATTTGACAGATTCTGTTGTCCTGTCATTTGTTAATTCTTTGTTTTTGCTGTAATGGTGGAGCTGGTTACAGAAACCTGGAAGTGAAATTAGTTACCTTTAGCTGGTATGAAACTCAAATATTAACTTTGCTCTGTGGAACAGATTGGTCACGTTGCACAACGTGCTTGTAATGCAAATGACATCATTCACATTTCAACATTTCTTGCATCCTCTAGATAACTAGTCAACATTTGTAACATGGCAATAGCATGGTATTCTGCGAAGAATAACATCAAATGGCCACCACAGTAGTTTTTGTAGAAGTTACTGATCCAGACAACCAGTGTAGACATTTTAAGCACTATGCTCAAAAAAGATGCTAGTAGGTGTAATTTTTAATTAGTCAAGAAAGACAGCAGTATTTGTTTTGACCATCAGATAAGTAGATAATTAATTAGTCTAATCTTTATAAATTTGTACCACTTGCTCTGGATAATTTTGTCACTGGACCAGAGTGAACAGCCGCACGAGTTTAATCATGTCTTTATTATCCGCTTCAAAGCAAGGAACATAAGATATAATACATCTAACAGTGCAAGCAAATTGCATGTAATGGTGGAGCTGGTTACAGAAACCTGGAAGTGAAATTAGTTACCTTTAGCTGGTATGAAACTCAAATATTAACTTTGCTCTGTGGAACAGATTGGTCACGTTGCACAACGTGCTTGTAATGCAAATGACATCATTCACATTTCAACATTTCTTGCATCCTCTAGATAACTAGTCAACATTTGTAACATGGCAATAGCATGGTATTCTGCGAAGAATAACATCAAATGGCCACCACAGTAGTTTTTGTAGAAGTTACTGATCCAGACAACCAGTGTAGACATTTTAAGCACTATGCTCAAAAAAGATGCTAGTAGGTGTAATTTTTAATTAGTCAAGAAAGACAAAGCGGTATTTGTTTTGACCATCAGATAAGTAGATAATTCATTAGTCTAATCTTTATAAATTTGTACCACTTGCTCTGGCTAATTTTGTCACTGGACCAGAGTGAACAGCCGCACAAGTTTAATCATGTCTTTATTATCCGCTTCAAAGCAAGGAACATAAGATATAATACAAATAACAGTGCAAGCAAATTGCATTTCCCACAGCGTTTGCCTGCTTTGTTACTTCCAGTGTTACATAATTAAGGTCACTTGGCTTCTGGGTCGCCGCTATGGTTTCTGGGACCCCTGAACAGCATATTGACTCCAGTGTTGCTAGATTGGATTGAAGATCTCAGCCCAACTACAGCGTAAAACCGTATTTTTTTTTTTACATTTTTAAACTACAATCATCCAACCTAAATGTTTTGTCACCCAGTGTATTTGTTTTTCAATTTATAATGTTGATTCATATTTATGTTGCGAGGAAGATACTTAAAAAGAACTTGGATTTCAAACTCTGAATTGAATTAATTTTAACTAAAAAAGACAAGTAAACAGTCAATAATAAAATAAGAATAGATAAATGACAAGCAAAATGGCACAAACACATACGATAAAAAGATACAAATAAAATGAACTGTGCTTTAAGTTTTTCAGGTAGGTATAACAGTAATATTCAGGTACAGAAATACCACAGAAACTGAATAATCTAGTTAACTTTAAAATAACACTGGTTAGTCTTCAATGTATAAATAAACATTAATGACAGACAGCAGCAGGTTTATTTAGGTTGCTGTCTCTTTAAGACCTCATGCACGGATCAAACTGTTACACATAAGTTTTGTTTCGCAACTGTTTATATTAACTTAATAGCCTGTATACTGACAATGTTTAGTATAAATCGACTGTTTACATGAATACTCATCCAGACGGGCACTTTGACATATTTTTGTATGTATTTGGCCGTTTATGCGCAAAGGC